TGTAAATTACAGTGGACTATTCTTAAGAATAAGCCCGATATATTGTTGGTAGTCCAGGTACGGTTAAGGATATTTTTTTCATAATGATTTCTGATATTTACGCGAGCACTACACATTGATTAAAACTACTTTTACGGATTTTATTGCGTTTATTTTACTTTTAATTACTTTTATTTTTAATTCCCGATGTTTCAGATGCTTTCCAGCACCCATGGTCACGGAGAACTGAGATGACTGACGTCCCGATGTCATTGTTAAACCCGGAGTACTTTCAGCTTTTTTAATTATTGTTTATGGTCCGATCTATACAAAATGAACTGACTATGTCCTGAGGTCTTGCAGTGGTACGCTTGGGTTTAGTTTTAATTTTATTGATTATAGGATCCCAAGCAGGTGGTAGTACCCAGTCTCCTTCGCTATTGAAATTAGGATGTTTTTAATTTCAATAGCCTCACGCATCATCCTTGGCAGGAATCGGTGTTCTTTCGCGAGGATTTGCGGTCTATCAAATCTGATGTAATGGTTGGGGCTGTCTAGGATATGATCGCAAACTGCAGACTTCCCGGAACGTTGATGCTTCACATCAGCTATATGTTCTTTTACGCGGGTTCTAATTGATCTTTGTGTTTTCCCTATATAAGAGAGACCACATTCACAATCAAGCTTGTACACTCCTGCATCTTGTAGAGGAATATGACACTTGACGGATGGTAGGAACTGACTAATCTTCTTCGGTGGCTTGTAGAATATTCTAATAGAAACTCGCTTCAAAATGTAGCCAAGCTTGTCTGTGACACCTCTGACATATGGTAGTACAGCAGGCACACGCTCGACTGTGGCCGGCTTCACTCGGTCACTGTGACGTAGGCGCGGGACCCGAAGCTTGTTGTCGTGCAAAACTTGCTTGACGTGCTGAAGCTCGGCGGCTAGGTGTTTGCTGTCACAGATCCCTCGTGCTCTCTGTAACAAAGATTTGCCCACGGTAGCTAACTGTGAAGGATGGTGGTGAGATTCACCACCATCACCCGATATTTAAACGGTGAATTTTTCCGACTGTACTCAAGCAGGCTTTAATAACACCTATATATAAGGATGGCAGCAAAAGTGACCCCTGTAACTATCGACCGATCTCCGTTCTCTCATCAGTGTCTAAGCTTCTAGAAAAATTAATCAACATTAGACTCACAAAATTCTTGACAAAATATAGCATCATAGCAAAAAAAATCAATTTGGTTTTCAACGAGACTTATCGACTGAAAATGCTATTCAGGCTCTTACAACTCTAGTAGTAAAAGAATTGGATTCTGAAAACAAGTGTCTGGGAGTATCGCTCGATCTTAAGAAGGCATTTGACACAGTGTCGGTGCCCATCCTGTTAAATAGACTAGAGGAAGTAGGGGTGAGAGGTACTCCTCTCAAATTATTCAAATATTACCTTACTAACCGAAAGCAGCGTGTTCGAGTAGGCAATCACACTGGCCCGGAAGCCACTTTAATATTCGGTGTCCCACAGGGGAGTTAGCTGGGACCAACGCTTTTCCTGGTGTATATAAATAATCTCTGTCTTCTAAAACTATCAAATGGTACTATATTTTACGCAGATGATATAACTATCGTGTTCTCTGGCAAATCCTGGTGTGAAGTTAAAATATCGGGAGAAAATGCCTTGGCAAAGATAGCATCCTGGTTAGACAAAAGCCTCCTGACTTTAAATGCTGCTAAGATACAATATATTTGTTTCAGTAAAAACATCACAACTCAACCCCCTTCAAACTTAAACATAAAAATCCACAAGTGTGGTGACCCGTCTGATAATGACTGCTCGTGTACTAGAATAGATAAAGTCGCTTATATCCTCTCGTCAGTCCAAAACCTTCTAAAGGTTGCTGTCAAAAAAGTACGCATCTGTCCACAACCATCAGAAGGTTGCTGGTTACTTATAAACTTCAGATTCGAAACAGCCCTAGTAAAAGTATACGTATCTCCCTATAACTGGTACAACATGCAGAGAATTAAACAAAGACGGCAATTAATATCACACACGCTTCATAAACCAACCATAGAAGCTGTGAAATAGTAATACATTTATTCCGTTCAGTTGCTCGTTCTGTGACGCGGTGTCGTGTGTTTACGTGCAAAGTATTAATTGTTGAAAGTGATTTCGGAAGTCAATATTAAAGATAAACATGAATGGGTAAGTCATAAATACTTTTCTATTAATATAAAATATATTAGATGACGATTTGTACATAAATTGTTCCATTTTATCAAACATTGCTTGCCATTTCGACCGCCATGTTGAAACCATGATCGTATTAACTTCAATTGTTTTAAATTAAAAGTACAATTGTAAATGGTAAACATTGTCTTAATATCGTTAACATACTTATTTACAAACATAACAATAATTACAATTGTATAGTTTCGATTAAATATTTCATAAAACTAAAAATAACAAATTGCTTAAATCTCTCGTCCACCTGGCGGTTGTGGACAGACATGGGTCGTAAAGTTATTCACATGAAATCCGCCATCTTAGAGAGCAGGTTGTATAGTATGGATACGACTTTGGGAATGCCAGTGTTGGTATATTTTTACGATAATTGATTTTTACGATTTGGTGTGGATTTTTATTTGTTTCGTTTTATTTTTTTGTCAATAAATTGTTTTACTTTTTGTATGTGCATGTCATTATATTTTTTTTGCACTTGATTGACAAGTGAAACACTCTTTGTTTTCACTCTTAGCCCAAGGTTATCTGGAAGAGATTGCTTTTTGTACGTAGTAGTTTTTATTGCTAAGCAATAATCCTTAGCTCGTTGCGGTGCTATAGTTGGAATAGCCTCAAAGTACGAAACGGTCACCCATCCAGTTGCAAGCTAACGCGTGCATTGCTTAAACTTTATTATGGATCTCGCACGCAAGCTATCACTAGGCTAGGGTCACTTCAAATTAAGTAAAATTAAAAAAAAAATCTAAATAACAAAAATATAAATATTTATTTTGGCAAAAAGAATTGTCAAACATTTTTTATAATAACATTCAAATGTTAATTAAAAATATAAAAAGCAAAGAAAAATAACTAATTTGTATTTCATTTTAATTTTATGTTCATGATTACAATTATTAAAGAAGTCACCACAGAAAGTATCCATACTAGCATATCTGGGTACTACGTCATACTTGGTGCTTTTTGTAGTGAATGTGTAACTTTTAGTTGATGATTTCTAACATAATTTTGTATAAAAGATGCCTTATTTGTTTTGTTTTTAACTTAGGAAATGTTATTATATTTAGGAATGTACATTCACATGTAAATAAATTACAAAATTGTTCGTTACAAATGCAAAAGTTTGAAAGCATTTTTTTAGGGTCACTTTTTCAAGTGTTTGTTACAACTCGTTCATTTCTTAATAACTGAATAGTTGTAATATTTGAAACTGTTTATATTAAGAACAAAGACCAAACTATAGCATAAGTTAAGATTTATAGCCCATTGTGCCTCAGGTGTCGTCGATATTGAAGTACAAAATGTGCCTTTTTTTGTGCCTGTTTCGGGTCATCTTAAGTGGCCCACATTATTGTAGAGCTTGTGGTGTGAAAAAACTGTACGTAGAGTTGTGTTTTTTTTATTCATTATTGTAAAGTGTGTTATCGTATAGTAAATGAAGTAAATATTTATTGAAATAATTGCTTAATTTTTTAATGATTACATTTTATATTCAACAAACTAGAAAAAAATCGCTTCTAGCAATTTTACCACCAAATTTATAACATACCAAAAGGGTGAACGTACACATTTACACATATTCTATTAGCTTATTTAACAATAATTCTAACAACATATCATATTATATAGTTCCCATACATAAATATTAAGATATTGCCATTTTAATGACACGCGCCACGTAGGCAATGTAACACTCGTTTAGGGTTTGACAGATGCGCCAAAGCGGCTATTTTGGCCCGGACTGCTGAGAGGATATTAAATACTTAGGGGTTCTCGTCGATCAGCGTCTTTCTTGGTACCTGCATGTAGAATTGACCATGAAAAGAGTGAGAAAGCTGATATGGACTTTTAAAACTTTACGTCACATTGCGAGTAAAGAATTACTTACTCAAACATATGTTGCACTCGCACAATCCATACTGGTATACTGCATATTAGTGTGGGGCTCAGCTGCTAAAAGCGATCTACTATGTCTGGAACGAGCTCAAAGGTTGCTGATAAAAGTAATGCTTCTAAAACCATATAGATACCCCACTGAAGATCTTTATCGTGAAGCTAATCTTCTATCAGTTAGGAAAATATACATATTAGACATTGTTCTTAGAATGCACAAATCTCTTCCCTTTGATGCTAAATTGCTCACAAAGAGAAGAAAGTATAAAGTTTTTTTAGTTCCCACAGTGAAATCTGACTTTGCAAGACGGCAGTACTCTGTGCAGTCTGCCTCATTCTACAATAAAATAAATAAGTATCTTAACATATTTCCCCTTAATAAAAAATATTGTAAGAAAACGGTTTTGTAATGGCTAAGATTAATAAGTTACACTGAGACAGAACTGATGCTTAAAAACTAACATATCTTTATTACGTGTAGGTACCCATAGGCCTTATAGCGCAGCGCATACAGGTTCCAGTTATCGCCAATACTATCACTTAAGGTGAGTATTTGATAATTTGAAAACATTAAAAAACAAATATTAGTTATATAACACAACACGCACAAACAAACTCAAACACACAAACACATACACAAACACACACACACACACACGCTGTAACGTTGCACGTACATGTATGCATAATTATAATTAAACGGTTTATTAAATGTTTATTTAATTTTAATAAACCGTTTAATTATAATTATGCATACATGTACGTGCAACGTTACAGTTTTTTTTTTTTTTTTTTTTGAGATCTAAAGCAGTTTTATTTGTTTTCTACCACATCAAATTAAAGGAATGCAAGAAAGAAACTGCCAAGCATGATTTATTTACATGCCTCCACGAAGTCGAAGCACGAGGTGGAGTGTGGACTCTTTCTGAATATTGTAGTCTGAAAGAGTGCGCCCATCTTCTAGTTGTTTGCCAGCAAAGATAAGACGCTGTTGGTCTGGAGGAATGCCTTCTTTATCTTGAATTTTTGCCTTTACATTGTCAACTGTGTCAGAAGGCTCAACTTCCAAAGTGATGGTCTTTCCTGTCAAGGTCTTCACAAAGATCTGCATTCCACCTCTGAGACGTAATACTAAATGAAGGGTAGATTCTTTTTGGATATTGTAATCTGAGAGGGTGCGTCCATCTTCTAGTTGTTTGCCAGCAAAGATCAATCTTTGTTGGTCTGGAGGGATGCCTTCCTTGTCCTGTATTTTCGCCTTCACATTCTCAATTGTGTCCGAAGGCTCCACCTCTAATGTGATGGTCTTACCTGTCAAGGTTTTGACAAAGATCTGCATGCCACCTCTTAAACGGAGCACCAAGTGAAGTGTTGATTCTTTTTGAATGTTGTAGTCAGACAGTGTGCGTCCATCTTCAAGCTGTTTGCCAGCAAAAATCAACCTCTGCTGGTCTGGAGGAATGCCTTCCTTGTCCTGCATTTTGGCCTTCACATTCTCAATTGTGTCCGAAGGCTCAACTTCCAAAGTTATGGTCTTTCCCGTCAAGGTCTTCACAAAGATCTGCATTCCACCTCTGAGACGTAATACTAAATGAAGAGTTGATTCCTTCTGAATGTTGTAGTCAGATAGTGTGCGTCCATCTTCAAGCTGTTTACCAGCAAAGATCAACCTCTGCTGGTCTGGAGGAATGCCTTCCTTGTCCTGGATTTTGGCCTTCACATTCTCAATTGTGTCAGAAGGCTCAACTTCCAAAGTGATGGTCTTACCTGTCAAGGTCTTGACAAAGATCTGCATTCCACCTCTGAGACGTAACACTAAGTGAAGTGTTGATTCTTTTTGGATATTGTAGTCAGAAAGAGTGCGACCATCTTCTAGCTGTTTGCCAGCAAAGATAAGACTCTGCTGGTCTGGAGGAATGCCTTCCTTGTCTTGAATTTTAGCCTTCACATTCTCAATAGTGTCCGAAGGCTCCACCTCCAACATGATGGTCTTCCCTGTCAAAGTTTTAACGAAGATTTGCATACCACCTCTCAGACGTAATACCAAGTGGAGGGTGGATTCTTTCTGAATGTTGTAATCTGAGAGTGTGCGTCCATCTTCGAGCTGTTTTCCTGCAAAAATCAACCTCTGCTGATCCGGGGGAATGCCTTCCTTGTCTTGGATTTTAAACCGTTTAATTATAATTATGCATACATGTACGTGCAACGTTACAACGCGCGCGCGCGCACGCACACGCACTCATACTCACATACACACACACACGAGCAGAAGGAAACAACAAAAAATTATATTAATTACATGTAAACTTGCTTGTTTTAGCGTATATTAGTTGTAATTTAGTTTTCTATGTGACTGTTTGTAAAAAGAGCGGTTCTTCCCACCACAGGCGATGTTTTGCCTAAAGGGGAGTTCCTACATCTAATATTTGTAATAGACTAAGTTACTGAAAATAAAATATTTGAATTTTAAATATTCGAATTTGAATTAATAAAAAACATCAAAAACTGAATCTGCTACTATTTGTAGTATCCGAAATTTGATCGGTTTTGCATTTTAAACTGAATTAGAGCTTTTTTTACAAAACTGAAGTCACAGCCGAATTTATGGTCCACAAGATGAGTAATATCCATAAGTGGTCACTGCAGCCCATTGACACCAATAATCTACTTCGTACAAAGAAGGTTACCGATGCACTGTCCCCTTTGGGAATTAAGATGGAATGCATCATTGCCCGTAAGGCTGGTTCAGTACCCTTCAAACCGGAAAACAGTATTATACGCATTGCTATTAAACGACAGATATAGGCAAGAGTAGTGGCGGAAACACAGCAGTAGCAGAAAAGGTGTCCTACTACCTAGTAAAGTTATCTTTTCTTCTTTGTCAACCTTTAATTATATACGGGATTTTTTTATTCAACACAATTTTTCGATATACTATAAGTATTCTATGCTAATATATAAGACTGTACTTGTCATGATGATGAATCTTTAAGAGGAATACCAGTTGTAATTTTAAAATTATTTTGTAATTTACATTTTTCTGTATAATTTGTATAAAATTAAAACATTAATAATTTATTATAAACAAATACGATACTTTTATTTTATTCTACTTAAGCCCCTGATAAGAGGCTTGAGAGTTTATGCTATGTTTTGTAAATAAATTACCTATAACAAATAATATTATACCTTAACTTCAGCCCCCAGATTAGTAATTTATCATTACGCACTTACGAGTATACAGATACTCGTATATTATTGTGTGTATGTTTCAAGGTAATCAAAAGAGGTAATATTCAGCTACAAAATCTTTTGTTTTGATAAAGAACTTTGAATGTTAGTTTTGAATTTTATAAATAAGCCGATTAGTACTTAATAAAACAAATTTGAAATTTACGAAAGTTTAACTGAGCTTGCAATATGGGCGACAAGAATCATAATTCGTCGAAACGGTTCGAGCAGGCGGAATAAACACGCTCATAAAGTGTAACATGAATTTTTAACCTATTAAATATGAAATGTTAAAATGATAAGTAAATCAGTAATTGTCCATATTTTTATAAAAAAAAATTTGCTTAATTAATTGTATTATTTGCGTAGCATGTCGTAAAAGACGATTGATGGTATATTGGGTTTGTGATTGTATGAGCGATGGACTGGACACCCATCATTATTTTTCATGTTTGTCACCCATAGTTATTGGTCAACATGGTTGATAAACATGATTCAAGTAGCTCTTTGCTCCTTGGACCCTGTTTATCCTATATATATGTTTGTTAGTTTATTGTAAAAGAGATGTCACTTCATAATATGTAGATCTCCGTTGTTATTTACAAATATAACAATATAAACGTGACAAACGAACACGGTCCACCTATTGGTAACTCTTTACTACTCATAAATCTTCGAATAAGAATTAAAATGTAGAAATGTAGAATGTAAAATGTAATCGCTGTCTTCTGTGTAAGTCTCAAATCTCTGATATTTACTATACTGTTACAAATATATGCATGTACATATATGTATGTATGTGTGTGTGTATATATGTTTAAATATTTAATTATGACTTTATATTATAAAGATGTTTATGTCTGATACACATGTGTAGCTTGCTCGACTTTACAGGTTAAGTATTTATGTATGTATTAATGTTTGTTTAAATATGAATATATTCATGTATTGTGATATATATATATATATATATTTATTTATATATATATTTATTTTATACCCATATGTGTTGTGCACACCTTATAATCATTTAGTAATCATATGTGTTTGAAACTGGCCTACTGGAAGAAATTTCATTGTGAGATAAGTAGAGCCTTTGTACAAACTTTTTATCATGATGTGTCCTCTCCCTAACTTGTGTGTACATAAATTGTGAAATAAATAAATAAATGTAGGTGTGTTTCATCCGTTATTAGCCATAAGTCAGTACACAAAGTAAGACACATCATTTTTTTTGACAGTTCATTTCACTGATTGACATGGGCCTATCGCGTGATATAGAAGATTTGCTTTAATCCTCATGCATATCAGGATAATTTTGCCCTCCTTTTGACGATCACAGTATTTTATATCAAGCATATACGAGTTTGTGAAGCGCCATCTACCGCGCCGTGCGATCTGTAAGACCTATTGTGATCACTGCTATGGCTACAGTTTACTTCTAAGCCCTATTATCTTCAATGAATTGAAAGAGTTGTCTAGCTGTGAGCAATTTTTCTTCTTCGAATCTAAATCTCTAATGTAAAGTTTGCGCATTAAAGGTCTGCAATAATTTAAGAAACAAAATATGCAGAGGTGTTTCTTCCGTTAAGGAACAGGATTGGTATTGATTGGTTAATATGCGATTTTTTAGACAACAGTGTCCAGTCAGGTTTCTGCTGGTAATTTTTACTTGATTCCAGAGCTTCTGAAGCGAATTTATGATCACGAACCCAGCTTAAGTGTATCAGACACTAAATTATTTATTGTGATAAAGGGTTTCAAGGCTCAATCGAGCCAGATTTTTGAGATTCCACAAAATGGCTTGGGTAGAAACTGTGTGTTCTTGAGCACTCCGGTATTAGCATGTTGGCAAGTTAATTGACTACCTTAGAACAACTCTGTTGCCACACGTTTATATGTTTAGACGGTTCACGTAGTCCCCAACTAGCTTCGAGGTGGCTAAGTTTGATCTCAGCCCTAGCAGTTCCAATCCCATCAGAGTTTTTTATAGATATGGTTGACATAGTGTTTTTGCAGGTAGATTTCTTCACACTATGTGATTATACATGATGTTTTTCAGATTGATTTCTTAACACTATGTGAAGAAATAAACCTGCAAAAATACTATGTCCACCATATGTATGACGAAAATTTCGGTCTCGAAGATAGAGGTGAATTTCTCCAAATTCATACAAAAAATGAATCTGAGGCGTTATCCGTACATTCCAAAGCCTACGTCGAGGCCCATTTTTGAACCATCGGTATACCATAATATAATGCTACCGACCTCGCAGATAACCTGCCCATTTAGTCAGTCTTCTCTGGAGGGTACTACAACTATGTAGTTTTTATTAAAGGTGTATAGCAGACACGCGATTTTTGAGATCATACATAGATTGGTGTTTCGCTTACTGAATCGAGCAGTGATCTTATTCTATAGGAAAACGATCTCAGAATACCTTGAGCGTTAATCCTATACAAACCTTTCTGAAATGTATTTCATAATGATCGCACAAACGTAAACATTATTTATCAAGCCGCCATTTTTGTTATCGTCATCAACGTTAGTTTTCATTATAAGTTGACATTTATATTACAAAATATGGAAAACTTTTTTAATATTGTACGAAAGAAAAATATTAATTGATGGTTTTATTAATTATTGTCAGCAAAGCCATCTTAGACGATTAGGTACTTGAGCGCCACAAGTTCGGAGGTCTCTTAGGGTTAATGAAAATAAACTACTTCTTCTTTATCACCCTGCAAAATTTCACTGATGGACATGAACCTGCCCCGTTTAAAGGTAGGAACACCCTCCGTTTCCTCCTTAGGTAAAATCGGCGTGATTTAATCCCACTTCTAACACCAATTGTTACGAGCTTAGGGTTCTTGACAATAAAAATTGCCGACAGAATTACCAAAATTAACACTTTAATTCACTTTACACTTTCACAAATATTACATAAATTCAATACTGCCTCGATCGTGGCATGCAACGACTTTAAATACACTTTTACGCCGAAACATCCAGAATATTCAAGTAAATACGCGCGCCAATCGACCAGGCGCCGAAAGTTCGAGTGTAGGGCTTCTAGAAAGCTTAGTTCTTCAATTCGATACTAGATGGCGCTGTCGGTTGAAAGATTAGTCATGTCATTTTCTGGAAAGCTCTCCTTGCTCTGTTACGCGACACTAGATGGCGCTAGTGCCAGAAGTCAACTTAGGCGCGCAACAATACCTTCTGATTTTATAGTTACGCGATTCTGAATCCTAATAAAACCTTGACCACACCGTATATAAAAAACACCTAGACAGATAGATATTTAAAAGGTGATTCTCACCACCATCCTTCACAGTTAGCTACCGTGGTCTTTGTTTCAGAGAGCATGGGGGATCTGTGACAATAAACACCTGGCCGCCAATCTCCAACACGTCATGCAAGTTTTGCATGGCAACAAGCTTCGGGTCTCGCGCCTATGTCACAGTAAACGAGTGAAGTCGGTCACAATCTAGCGTGTTCCGGCTGTACTGGCCATACGTTGGAGATGTCACTGACAAGATTGGCTACATCTTGAAGCATGCTTCCATTAAAACATACTTCAAACCGCCGAAGAATATTAGTTAATTTTCACCATCAGTCAAGTGTAATGTACCTCTGCAAGATGCAGGAGTGTACAAACTTGATTGTGAATGTGAAAAAAAACAATAAACACCCACGTTAACAAACACATAGCCGATCTGAAAAATCGACGCTTCAGGAAGTCTGCAGTC